GCAGACACAACATCTTTGTTTGTATGTGGTGCTGAGGATCGAACCTGGGCCGCACGCATGCCAGGCGAGCGCGCTACCGCTTGAGCCACATCCCTAGCCCGAAGGACTAGGATTTAAGTCTAGTTCCCCCAGTTACTAGCTTTTACTATAGGCAAATTGTCTTTTTTCTTGATATAGTCAGTTTTCTCACATAAAATGAGAATATCATATTTCATACATTTGATTCAAGTGGGTTATGAACTCCCATTTTTACCCCGTATACAGATTGCAGAATCACATTGGTTACACATCCACTTTTTTACATACTGCCATACTAGTGTCTCTTGTGTTCTGTTGCCTTTCCTATCCTCTACTATCCCCCCTCCCCTCTAGGATCATATTTTAAATAGGACTAGGGAAAGCCTCTGTCTACGGGTAGATATCTTTTGAACAAAGACCTAAACAAGATGAGAGAGTGAGCCTTTAGCAGTTTTCCAGAGAACAGCCAACCAAGAAGAGGAAATGAAAAGTAGAAAGGTTGGAGGCATTTTCAAAGAAGTGCAAGGGAGAAAAGAATAGTAAGAAATAAGTCAGAGAAGTTGGAGAGTGGGGAGAGTTCTGTAGGGCCTTATTAAATAAAATACTGTTATAAGAGGCTGGGGTTGTAGCTCAGTGGGATAGTGCTTGCATAACAAGTGTGAGGCCCTGGGTTTGATCCTTAGCACCACAGAAAAATTAGTAAATAAAAATATTGTTTCTATCTAAAAAAAAAAAGTATTTTAAAAAAAGAAATGTTGTTGTAAGGTTTTTTTAAATATTTATTTTATAGTTGAGCACAATATCTTTATTTTTATTTTTATGTGGTGCTGAGGATTGAACCAGGGCCTCGCATGTGCTAGGCGAGTGCTCTACCACTGAGCCACAACCCCAGCCCCTGTTGTAAGGTTTTGAGAAGAGTGACATGATTGGACTTGAACTTTCAACAGATTAGTTTTGGCTGATGTGTGGGGTCTTGAGGCAGACAAGTTAGGAGGTCACTGGAGTAATTCAACCTATGATCATGACTGGCTTGGACCATGTTATGGTAATGGAGGCTGAGAAAGAATAAGTTAAATTCCAGGTAGATTAAAATTTAACATGAGCTCACACCTGTAATCCCAGTCACTCGGGAGACTGAGGCAGGAGGATCCCAAATTCAAAGCCAACCTCAGGAATTTAGGAATTTGAGGCCCCAAACAACTTAGTGAGAACCTGTATCAAAATTGAAAAACAAAAAAGGGTTAGGGATGTGGCTCAGCGGTTAAGTGCCTCTGGGCTCAATCTCTAATGCCAAAAAATTTAGCATGAAAAGCAAAACTTTTTAATTTTTCAGAAGGAAATATAGAAGAGTATCTTTAATGTCTTTTACAAAAGTCAAGAGGTATAAAAAGAAAAAAAAAGAACAGTTTGATTCCATGAAGCTTTTAATTTTTTATACATTGAGAGTCACAGACTGGGAAAGAAGATATTTGTAAAACATTTATTGACAGTTTGCACACAGAATCCATAAAGAACTCCTGCAAATCCATAAAAAGCATCTTGAGATGTGCATGACCTTATGACTATGCAGTTTCACATATATAACTGCTTTCACACTGCAAGCAGAGCTGAATAGGTGTAACAGAGACATATGACCCACAAAACTTGAAATATCTATCCTGACTCTTTGCAAAAAAAAGTTTCCTGACCCTTGCACTTGCATAATCTCACATGCATAATAAGACATGTGCAAGGATTATTTATAATAGAAAGGAATTAATTTTGAACCTGTCCATGAACAGAAAATAGGTAAATAGAAATATTCAAACAATAAAATACTATTTTGTAGTTAAAAGTAAATGAACTAAGAGCCTGTAATCCCAGCTGCTCAAGACATTGAGATGGAGGATTGAGAGTTCAAAGCCAGCCTTAACAAAAGCAAGGTGCTAAGCAATTCAGCGAGACCCTGTCTCTAGTAAAGTACAAAATAGGGCTGGTTATGTGGCTCAGTGGTTGAGTGCCCCTGAGTTCAATCCCCAGTACCCAAAAAACAAAAAAGTAAATGTACAAGGGTTGGAGATTTAGCTCAGTGGTAGACCCCTGGCCTAGCACAAGTGAGGCTCTAGATTCAGTACCCAGAGTTTAGTGAATAAACTAAATTATAATTTCAATAACACCTGTGAAGTGTGAAAGGAGTAGGGTGAAAAAGTGTTGAACACAAAAAAAACACATTGCAGTTAACATAGAATATGTTTAACATTTATATGAAGGTTTTAAAATGTTTGCACTTTTAGGGGTACATAGTAAATTCCAAGTAAATCTGTAATATCTTATTGTTCTAATCTAAAGCAGTAGTGAAATGTTAAGAGCTTTTTGTTTGTTTTTGTTTTTGATACTGGGGATTGAATCCAGGGGCATTTTACCATTTAACTTTATCCCAGTCCTTTTTGAAACAGAATCTCACTGAGTTGCTGAGGCTGACCTGGAATGTGTGGTCCTCCTGCCTCAGCCTCCTGAGTCACTGGAATTATAGGCTTGCACCACCATGCCTGGCTTTTGTTTTTTAGTACTGGAGATTGAACCCAAGGGCACTTTACCACCAGTCCTTTTTATTTTTTTGAGACAGGGTCTTGCTGAGTTACTGAAGGTCTGTCTCGCTAAGATCTGAAGCTGGTCTAAACTTGCGATCCTCCTGTCTCATCCTCCCAACTCACTAGGATTACTGGTGTTGTTGAAGTGTTGAGATTTGACAAAACTGAGTTATTAGTAGGTAGCTTAGTTACTACCTACTACTTTGTTTTTGTTGTTGTTGTTGTTTATTCTGCATACTTTTTCATGTGGTTGAATATTCTGTTTACAAGGGACTGGGTAGAGGGGAAATGGACCTGAAAGCTCCCTTCAGATACGGCCACTGTTGCTGCTACTTGACTGTGCACTTCATAAGAACCCAGGGCACTCATTATGAGCTTCCCACACCTAAGAGGTAGATTTTCTGTGGTCCTCATGAGTACTGGCTCATCAAACTACTGGAAATGATTTTATTCTCTTACAGTAATTATGCTTGTTTGGTGAATTTCCTCAGTCTCAGTTCACCCACAGCTGACCTGCAGAGCTGCAGTGGGATCTGATGCCATGGGGACTGCAGTGAGAGTTTTGAGGCTTCCTCAACAGTGAAATGGGAGATATTTTTCAGTTCCTCTGAAATAATTTGAAAATTATGATTTTCATTCTGTGATCTTAGATACCATAGAGAATTCTCAGAATCATTTCTGGAAATATCAGTGATTTTGATAGAGAAAACCCAGGAACTAATATTCTCCAAAGGTTTGGTTGATCTTTCAGTTCACCACGTTCAGTTGCTAGACTTTTGTTAAACTGACTAGCCTCTTTCTTCCTGGACAGAAAAGCCCAGGATTGTTCTGAGAATGTGAATACAAGTATTTTACCAACTTCATTGGAGTCTTTTTTTTTTTTTTTTAATGTGTGTAGCTTGCTTATTTGAACTAATAACTCTCTTAGTCTCTTAGTCCTTTTAGAGGGGACATTCATTTACACACATTTCATCCTTGATCAGTGCATTCCATGACAGTGAGAATGTCTTTGGGTCCTCAACCTTAAATATGAGGTTCATTTTGCTAGGTCTTGGAAGAAAGTCTGAAATCAGACTCAAGTTCTTTTCTATAGACAGATCACATTATAGACTGTGGGTTTGGAGTCTTGGCTTAATTTTTAAAGGTGTAATGGCTCTCTTCAGCACCTTGAATGTAATAAGTATTCATTATTAGTTCAATTATTTAATGTTTCAACTAAATCAGGGTTCAATACATGGACTACAGCCCTACACTCAACTATGTGTGAGATTAATATGCATTTACTCAGCAAACAACATTTGAATGCTTCCTCAGAATGTAAGGTAAGACTGTGCTATTATGAAATATTAGCACTGAAAGCACCTGAGTGCTCTAAAACAAGCCTTGTGTTATAAAGACTGAAACCCAGAGTGGATTAGAGTCTGGTTCAGGAGACCGTCCATCTATTTTTAGGTGCCACATTGGCTTGTATATGCTCAGATGATCAAGCAGGACTTCTAAGTATAGAGGTATATGGTTTTTCTAGATCAGCCTTTGTTATGTATTACAGTCATTTTCCAGCAGATGAAAGTCAGATATCTTGAGGAGGCAGCACCTTTATCTTTTCACAGGAACCCTGGTGCAAAGTACTTTTGCAACTGGCAAGAACAAAAAATGAGATTAATGGAGCAGGATGAAGAAGGAAGCAAAGTTAGGACCTTACTTAACTGAAGCAGGCAGAAGCAGGGAAATAAAATACAATAGATGCTAAAGAGGGCTGGGGTTGTGGCTCAGCAGTACAATGCTCACCTAGCATGTGCAAGGCTCTGGATTTGATCCTCAGCATCACATAAAAATAAATGAAAACAAAGGTATTGTGTTCAATTACAACTAAAAATAAATGAATATTTTTTAAAAAAGGCTAAAGAAAGAGAAAGAAGGAAGGGGCTGGGGATTTAGCTTAGTTGGTAAGGAGTTTGTCTCATATGCAAAAGGCCATGGATTCAATCCCTAGCACCACAAAAACAAAACAAAACAAACAAAGAGCAAGAAGGGATTTGATTTCCTTTTATTTACACCCAGAAAGTATCTTTCCCACAATGTCATCGTGTGCAGGTTTTAGGTGTCAGGTTCCAGATGAAATTTGCATTTTTTAAAAATATTGTTAGGCTGTTTATTCTTTCACGAAATACAAGTATTCATTTTTGCATTCACCACAGAGCCAACAAACATTTCTTGTGTAGTGTGTGCCAGAGACTGGGCCCTGTGCAGAAGCATGTTCTGATCGCCAAGTGTTCTGTTGCACTGGATGTGAGATGACCCACAGATCCTGCCATTCTGTGGGCATGTGAGGTGTGTCCTATCTTCTAGCCAGCTGCAGGAAATAGGGCTTGAGAAGGTGTCCACAATGTCACTTGGTGTGAAATTTGCATTTTGATACACTGCAGTTTTCCTTAGAATTGTCTGCAGTAGGGCTAGAGTTGTGGCTCAGTGGTAGAGCACTTGTCTGGCATGTGTGAGACACTGGGTTCGATCCTCACCATCATATAAAATAATGATATTGTGTCCACCTACAACTAAAAAAAATACATTAAAAAAAAAAAGAACTGTCTGCAGTAGATTTCTGTCACTTATTTCCCAAGATCAGTTTTAGTGATGCAATATCTCAGTTGCAGCCAAAAAGTATAGTAAGTGAGGAAATTCCAGATGTAGCAAATGCAGTTGCCATATTACTTGGTCACTTTTTTCTGTTTTACTCTCACTCTCCTCTCATAAGACCTATGACTAAGACCATTTCTGAAAATGAAGAATTGGAAGGAAATGACTTTTTTTTAATCTGTAATTTATTTCTAAATAAATCAGGACCTTATGGTTTCACTTTTATTTCTTATCAGAATCATTCAAAATTAAATTACCATGTAATCCAAGCAGCAGAGGAGGCTGAGATAGGAGGATCACAAGTTTGAGGCCAGCCTCAGCAATTTAGCAAGACCCTGTCTCAAAATTTAAAAAAAAAAAAAATCATTCGTTGTGGCATAATAATGGCAATTGGGTTTCAAATCCCAATTCTAGCTACTACCTTGTTTGTAATCTGGAACAAGTCACCAAACCTATAAAGTCCCATGATTATCTGAAAAGTAAGGAATGGTATCTCACTAGATTATTTTGAGAATTAAGTGAAGAAATAATAGAAAGGTATTTTGTAAGATACAAAATACAGGAGATATATGAAGTATATTCAGGAAGAAAGCTGTTTCAGAGCAGTCACACAGCCTAAGCCCATCTCTTCCCATTTTTAGAAAATCCTTTACATTAAGATCTTAGGAACTTCACCGTCAATGTAAAGCCTAAAATAAGTTGTTGTTGTTGTTGTAATGACACAGTTTCTCAGTCTTTGGACAGAGGGGCCTACTGGATCTCTGGCTTCCACCCCTAACTCCCACCAAACAAACTATAGTGCCACTTAGTCTGTTAAGCACTGACAGGTGAATGTAGCAGCAAACCCTGGTACTGAAAAGAAGATAGGAGAAAAATATCCTAATAGGAAATTTCCATTTTTCATTCAGGTAAGGAGAGTTGCTTTGAGAGAATTGTGTCAAGATTTGGAAAGAAAGTCACATATGTAGTGATTGGGGATGGACGAGATGAAGAAATTGCCGCCAAACAGGTAACTGATTTTTAAAAAAAGGTCTGGTTGTGTATGGAGCAATTAGGAAAATGGTAAAAACTACAAAATTGGGGCTGGGGTTGTGTCTCATTGGTAAAGCACTTGCCTGGCACATGTGAGGCACTGGGTTCAATCCTCAGCACCACAGGAAATAAATAAATAAAGATATTTTGTTCACCTACAACCAAAAAATGTTTTTTAAAGAAACTACAAAATCTTAGCAATCTATTTTGTATTAGCTGTTGCTGGGGCCGCTGTGAGCCAATCATCAGCTGGCAGTCTGAAAGTTTGCTGGGGTCCCTTCGGCTGTGGCTCTCAACATCTTCTCTTCCTCTCCCATCTTCTTCTAAAGAAAGAGAAAGACAATAGTTTTTTTTCCTTAAATGGAGTTTTCCCTTTAAATTGGTAAATCCTCTACCCCCTCCTCCCTGCCAACTCAAAAATCTTAAAAGCTTCCAGACCTGTTACAGAGATTTCCCATCACTAAACCTGAGATATGGGCCCCATCTTTTGTCTTCATCTAAGAAGGCAACACCTTCTCAAGAGCATCAGACTTAATTGCAAGAAGGCAAATCATTCTGACTTTTTCAGCTTCAGAATTTCAGAAAACAAACAAACAACAAAAACAGCTCAATCAGTTTGTAGTTGTTTATATTTATAGAGAAAGTCCTTCCTGCTTTTAAGCCCCAGAAAGTTTGTTCTAATGGGAACCCTATCACTGTACAGGTCCCAACTCACGTCATCCCTTCTCTTTTCCTTTGTTTCTTGTTTTTGTTTTTCCCGTACTGGGGATTGAACCAAGTGGTGCTCTGCCACTGAGCTACATCCTCATCCTTTTGTATTTTTAATTTTGAGACAGAGTCTCACTAAGTCACCTAGGCTGGTCTTAAATTGTGATCCTCCTGCCTTGGTTTCTTAAGTCATTAGGATTACAAGCTTGTGCCACCTGCTTCATTATGTTTTCATTTACTACTTTTCTTTTTCACATATATAGTCACTGAAGCTTTGATTCTAAAGTACTTCTTATTACCCTCTTTGCGGAAGGCAATACTGAATGAAAGTGTCAGTACTTCTCAGTCTGTAGAAGAAAGTTGGGGAGAAAAAAGAGTCATTAGCAGAGCCAACATCTCTAAGCTCACGTCTGTAATCATCTACCATAAAATGTACCCATTAGGAGCTAGGGATGTAGCTCAGTGTTAGAGTGCTTGCCCAGCACTCACGAGGCCCTGAGTTCATCACCAGCACCACAAAAATGAATAAAATAAGGGCTAGGGTTGTGGTTCAAGTGGTAGAGTGCTCACCTAACACATATGAGACACTGGGTTCTATCCTCAGCACCACATAAAAATAAAATAAAGATATTGTATCCACATAAAACAAAAAAATAAGTATTTTTTTAAAGAATAAAATAAAATTAGATATACCCACTGAAAAATGCCTTAGTGCCTTATCCAATTCAGCCTCCTCCTTGTGAAGGATCTTTACCACAGCCTCTCTGACAGAGAACTCCGGCCCTGCGTGAATAGGTACCCAAGAGTGAGGTTAGGGTGTTCCTCCTTCCATTTGACAAAAATTTCTCTCTTAAGTTTCACACACTGGTCCTAGCCTGGCGTTCCTGAGTGTAGCATAACAAGTCTGCTTCCTTTTCTGTATGCTGTAGCATTTTTTTATTTTGTTTTGTTTTGGTTTGGTTTGGTTTTTTTGGTACTAGGGATTGAACTCAGGGACACTCAACCACTGAGCCACATCCTCAGCCCTATTTTGTATTTTTATTTAGAGACAGGGACTCAGTGAGTTGCATAGTGCCTCGCTTTTGCTGAGGCTGGCTTTGAACTCACTATCCTCCTGCCTCTGCCTCCCAAGCCGCTGGGATTACATGCACCGGCTACTATAGCCTTTTAAATACCACACATGAGCCACTGACCTGAAAAAACTGCCATGTGTCAAAAGAACTGTGTTCTAGGACCTCAGTGTTCCGAGGAACATGGAACCCATTTGAATAAGACGGTCAGTAAAAATAATTGCCTTCAACTTCATGGTTCATGGTTTCCAGTACTTGGGTATATCTAAGTCCTCCTTTGAGTTTGTGACTTCCAGAACAGCACACAATATTCTTGACATGATTCTGACTACATGATATGGGACTGTTATTTCCTGGATCTATAGATTCTGCTTCTTGAACATGGACAATATTTGGGCCCTATAGATCTAAAATTTGTAGAAAATTGTCTTGATAATGTAGTCTTATATTCTAATTTATCTGGGTTATTTTATATGATCCTGAAGACCTCATATAATAGTTGGAGCATGAAAACACAGTTACTACTCAAGCCTGATAAAAATTCCTCCCATGTATAAAATATCCTATAATGTACAGGGTCCTTGTACACATGACTTAATTCACCCTTATGGCAGCCCTATGAGATGGGTCAGGGTAATTAGTTACCAAGCACCTCAGAGAAAGGGCTGTGGAGAAAGGTGTATGGGTAAGTAGAAACTCCCTAAAGAAGTTGAGTTAACCAGTTGTCCTCTCTCTCTTCCAGCACAATATGCCTTTCTGGAGGATCACAAATCATGGAGACCTAGTGTCCCTTCACCAGGCTTTGGAGCTTGATTTTCTCTAAGAACTGAAATGAGGAGTCTTCCTCATGAGCTCCTTTTTCATTCCTGAAGGGAGCCAGAGGCCAGAACCAACTGGGAACTTCCTTCCCATCCTTCTCTCCCTCCCTCTTTCTCTTTTTCTCTCTCCATGGAATGCTGGCGAGAACACAATCAGAACCAACAACTGCAATTTTTGCTATGAGTGAGCTGCAGCTCTGTGTTTATCCTTGTACAGATGCAGGAGACAGTTGGATAAGAGCACAGTGGACTGACTACTGCAGCTACAGTACTTACATTTCTTCTATTTTGTTTCAAAGAATGGGAAGAAAGAAAAAAAAAAAAAGGAAATTTGGGGGGCAGAGTTGTACTCTTAGTCCATGACCAGACAGAGAACTGCTCTTGTGATAGGATAAATGCAGCAGAGTTTTTTAAGAACATCTCCTGCAGTCTTTAGGATCTTCTTAGCTGTAGAACTTATTTCCAGTGAATGTGTATGTTATTTTTATAGGTAAGGGTCTGGTCTCTGAAGCAGGATTCCCCCTCCCCCTTTTCTTTTTCTAGCAAGAAAGGGACATGTAATTTTTTCATGAAAACAGTAATTGAAATATCAAAAATACCTCTCTGTGTCGACACCACCTCCTTGGCTGCTCCAGTGGTCTGTTCTCCAGGATGGTTTCTTTCCATCTGTGGAGCACTGGACTTTGGCATTTCCCATCCTGCAAGCCTCAACCCCCTTGCCAGTCTCTCTTCCTTTTTAACCATGTGGCACTACCCTGGAATCTCTTTCCCTTAGGGAATAAATCCTAAGCCTTCAACTTAATTCAAAGGCTATATCCCAAGAAGCTTAGCCTCCAGACTGGAGAGAAAGGACTCAGGCTTATTGGAATTTTGGCTCTTGAGACAGGAAGATTCCACCTATTCCTTCTGCAGAGAAGCACCTTTTCCCACAGATGCTCAGTCTGCAGCCTCTTCTGTGTTAGTCAACAGATGCTGGGCTCTGACCCCTTCCTGCCTTCTGCACTTCACATCCACCTCAGTGCATCTCCAGCCAGTCCCTGCCCATTGGATTCAATTCAGATCAAGTCTAAGAACAGGCTTGTAACAACTTCTTGAAGGAAGCTCTTCAGCCACATGCAGGGTGTCCCAGGCATATATGTACCCAGATCTCTGCCTGGAACTAGAGATCATATTTCTGTAATCAAACCCAGTTTCCCATGGAATGCCCTGTTTCTCAAATCCCATTCTAAAATGGGAAGCCAAGAGATCAGAAAGATTTTCCTGATTTAAATGAGGGTGCTGGCCCAAAGACTGGGCCAAATGCAGGAGCATCTCTCAGCCTGCCTCTTAGGAATTGTGAGGATCCAGGCCCTAGTCCCAGCCTTCTAGCCCATCCATGTATATTGGATGCCCCATCCCTCCAGGACCAACTTGGGTACCTATTCAGATGTGAGAAACTTCTGCTAGAACTGAAAGAGGTGGTTATATAAGCACCTCAAAGAAGCAGCCTTGATCCTCGGGAGGAGTTTCTTGACCAACCCCAACTGTAATTGCTTATCCCCAGAGATGCTCTGCACCCATTTCTAGAGATACAGTAGCACAAAGAGTGCCAGGTCACCCAGAGAGCAACAGCACGGCTGGCACACACATTTCTTCAGAACTGATGGACAATGCTTCATAAATCAGAGTTTAGAAAGGAAGTTTTGAGAAAGGAGCTGAAGTCTGTTCTGTCACTTGGCCACCTTGGGCTTGTTTCCAGATTGGTGTGGAAGGAGGGAGATGGAGTCTGAGGCAGACCTTCTGGGTCTGTGTGTTCAGCACAGCTGGCCACCTGCTGCTCTGCCTTGCTTGATGGTCCATCTCAGAAAATTCTAGAGTGGGTTTTACTTTAATGCCTCAGACCCTCCCCACATTGCCAGTTTAGCTATTGGTTTCTTCCCCTGGAGAAAGACCACCTACTGTGCTGTGCTGTGCTTCAGGATTATGAGGCTGCACAAAGGCACCCACTCACATACAGGTAACACACAAATGTTCCTTTTTCCCACCTGTGGCGGGCTATTTATTTTAGAATATGACTTGGACTCTTTTTTTTTTTTTTAATGAACTTTCCTCTTGGTCTGACTGCCCCTGCTTAGCTCTTTCCAAAAGGAACTTGAGTGTGACCAAGAGGTGAGAGGAGCCTCTACACCTTTCTGGTGGCTTCTACCCTCATTCAGTGAGCAGACATAAAGCAGGAACTTATCTATTTCCACAGAGAAATTGTCCAAGGAACATTGCCCTTCTTACCGTCTTCTCTTCCTTGGCACAAAGCCCTGGAAAGGAAAATAAGTGGGTAATATCAAGAGCTCAGTTGGAAGCTGAGGCCAAAGGAGGCTGAGTCCTTTCATCAAGGGGAAGCCCTCTTCACTGGAAAAAGTGCACATAAAATTAGCCAGATGAGGAGTCCTCCCCCAGCCAGGCACTGTGGCTCTGTAAAGTGGTCTGGACATCTTACGGTGAGGACTGTTAATTAATGACTCTGGAAGTGTTGGTGTGCCCCGGGATAAGAGGTGGCTTGACTTTCGAATGTAAAACTGATCGTGCCTTAGCGTCACCCTGTCCATTGCCCCTGGAGCAGCTGGTGGTGTCCAGGAGAATGGACACCTGCTGCAGATTTTAGATGCCTATTTGGGCTTTTGTTTGATTTGGGGTGTGCCTGTCTTCTGCTCCACAAGTTGGGGGACAAAGCTAATGTCCCAAGAGACTCTTGCCACAGCTTGTTCGCAGTTTATACAAACTCCACAGCTCCAAGTAGATCTGGTTAACAGACTCGAGCTGCAGCACATGGAGCTTCTAGATGCTCGCTACCTTGAATGGTGTCAGTGCCACTGACTAACAGGAGTACAGGGCAGAGCCTGACCCCCTCTTCTTGGGAGAGCCATGCCTAGTCCAGCAAGAGGTGACCTTGGGGCCTGCCTCTCCTCGCTCCTCTGCAAGGAATAATTAGGGCCCCTCCTTCAGCAAGCTTCTATTTCTTACCACTAAATTGGTTTCCTTTTTCAGCTGAAAGTTAGAACTCTCCAGGTATATATACACTATAGAAGCCAAATCTCAGAATTCTGAGATTGTAGAACATCTTAATCACAAGAGGGAAAATTGAGTTGTATCCCAACCCTGAAAACGGGCCGTCTGTCCCTTCCTCTGCTCTGAGTCAGCTCTAGCAAGCAAGGCTCCGTGGCTGCTTCCTAATGCACTGACAGGAGCCATCGCATTAAGGACGACCTCTACTCCAAACATGACTTTCTGGACTTCAGATGCCTCTTTTAACTGGAAAGGCATTGATTGGATTGGATGTATTTATGTGACTGCGGGCATTTGTGGCTGTAGAATCCTTGATCATAATGTTATATGTAATGGGAACTATCTTATAAACTTGAAAAAAATAAAGTTTTTATTTTCTATACAGTTTTCTCCTGTGTCTTTTCTAAATAGGATCGGCTCAGTTGGTCAGCCATGCGGCTCCTCATCAGGACTTCATAAGTATTCTGAAGAGGTTATTAGAAAGATGTCACCTTTTCAATAAGTGGGTCACTAATTTCACCAAGAAAGTAAGACTAACCACTTGGTATAAATAAGCATACATGGGGAAAGTAAAATAAATATTTTTAAGTAATTTGCAAGGGAGCATTTATTTCTGAAATGTTTCTAAATGGCATTGCTTTTTAAGGTTTAGAACTGGAATGATAAGAAATTTCATTTGCTGTCAAATGTGCTGAACTTTAATTATTAATGAGAAAAATCAGTACTTGCTGTGTTGAGCTTAACAAAAGCAATAAAACTGACAAACTGATATCAACCTCCTGTGATTTGGCCTGATTTCCTGTCACATCAGCTACTTTTTGTATTTCATTTCTTCAGATTCAAAAAGGCTTTTTGCCTTTTATTCAATGAAGGAAATTAGAATTAGGTTCTATTTCCAAGTACCATACATGTCAGACTATAAATTGTGTTTTTCCCCAAAATCAATTTGCCCAGAAAATAGGAAGCTGCCTTTATTCTATTTATTAAATATTTTCATTATTAAATGCCGATTTTTGAACCCTTTAAAAGAATGGTTGAAGAAAACCTGATAGTTGCTTACATCCCTTTTCAGTTGTAAGTGTACATTGGAGTGCTGGTCGATTTCTAAGCCCATAGAGTAAATGAACATCTCCATCTCACCCTAATATAATTAATAAAGCATGCACATTTCTCTTACGAGTGTTTAATGGCAGGTAAAAAATCGGCAATTCAGGAGGTTTTTTTTAATCTTCAAAAACAAGTTTTTCTACATATGAAAAATCCTTGACGGCAATCTTAAGTATCTATTTGCAAGTAATGTCACACTCATCTTTTTAAAATTCTTCCCTGCCCCACTCCTGGACTGGGGATTGAATCTAGCAGCACTTAATCACTGAGCCACATCCCCAACCCTTTTATTTTGAGACAAGGTATCAGTAAGTTGCTTAGAGCCTTGCTGAATCACTGAAGCTGGCCTTGAACCTGCTCCTCCTGTGCTATTGGAATTACAGTGCGCCACCACTCCAGGCTTAAAATTCTTGATGCTGTAAACTTTAAAAATATATAAAAATGGGGCTGGGGTGTAGTTTCAATAGAGCCCTTGTCTAGTCTGCACCACATTCTGAGTTAGATGTCCAGCACCACAAAAAAAATACCCTCTCTCACAAAAATGAATCATCTGCCAAATTCCATAGTTTTTTAGGTAGTATGCTATAATACATTGAATTTACCATCATTTGTCAGTTTCATCTAAGCAGTATAAATGAGAGCTTACCCCAAAATAGTTTGAAGCACATCTTTTTGGACTTTGAGGCAGGATGAGGAGTTGCCTAAAACACTAGGTCTTCTATTGGGAAATATGGCTACTCCCCTGAGCCTTGTCTTTGCATATAACAGTAGTGTGGCAGAAAAGTAAAGTAGTATTTTACTATTTTGGTAAAATGTCTAAGGCCTATTCCAAGGCAAGTGTTGGCACTAAACCTTGGCCAAACCTCTACCTTCTCTAGGTCTTGACCCTGAATGAATGAAGGAAAATGACAGTGACTTAATGTATTCAACTAAAAGATGATTATATCCTTTATGTGATGATGAAGATGTAAGATCAGTGTTGTTTTTAATGACCTTTTTTGCTGATGTTAAATTGGTAACCATAGTATTATAGCATACTACCTACTTCTGTGTGTGTGTGTGTGTGTGTGCGCGCACGCACGCACATGCACGTTGCTAAGGATTGAACCCAAGGCCTTGTGCATGCTAAGCAAGCACTCTACCACTGAGCTACATCTCCAGCCCTATATATTTTTTATTTTTTATTCGTTCTTTTTAGTTATACATGACAGTAGGATGTATTTTTTATATATATTTTTTAGTTGTAGATGGACACGATACCTTTTTTTTTTTAAAAGAGAGAATTTTAATATTTATTTTTTAGTTTTTCGGCAGACACAACATTTGTTTGTATGTGGTGCTGAGGATTGAACCCGGGCCGCACGCATGCCAGGCAAGCGCGCTACCACTTAAGCCACATCCCCAGCCCTATTTTTATTTTTTTTTAATGTGGTGCTGAGGATCGAACCCAGTGCCTCACATGTGCTAGGCAAGCACTCTACCACTGAACTACAACCCAGCCCAACAGTAAAATGTATTTTAACAGATATCATGGAATATAACTTCCCATTCTTGTGGTTGTACATGATGTGGAGTTACACTGGTCATGTGTTTATATATGAACATAGGAAAAGTTATGTCCAATTCATTCTACTATCTTTCCCATTCCTATCCCCTCTCCCTTTCCCCCCAATGGATGCTGTCCAATCAAGTGAACCTCCACTCCTCCCTCTCTCCCACCCCCCTCAACCCTACTGTGAGTCAGCATCCTCATATCAGAACATTCAGCCTTTGGTTTTGGGGGATTGGCTTATTTCACTTATCATGATAGTCTTCAGTTCCATCCATTTACAGGCGAATGCCATAATTTCATTCTTTATGGATGAATAATATTTTCTTTATCCATTCATCTATTGAAGGGCACCTAGGTTGGTTTCATAGCTTAGCTATTGTGAATTAAGCTGCTATCACCATTGATGTGGTTACTTCACTATAATATGACCAGCCCTTTATTATTTATTTATTTATGATACCCAGGATTGAACTCAGGGGCACTTAACCACATCCCCAGCCCCCTTTTGCAGGTTACTTAGAGACAGGGTCTCACTGAATTGCTTAGGGCCTCGCCAAGTTGCTGAGGCTGGCTCTGAACTCAGAATGCTCCTGTCTCAGCCTCCCGAGCCACTAGGACTGTAGGTGTGCACAATGCACCTGGCCAGCCCTTTATTTTTGAGACCTAGTGTTGCTATCTTGCCCAGGCTGTTCTCAAACTTTCAACTCTCCTGCCTCAGTCTCCCTAGTCACTGCAATTACAGATGTACACCACCATGCCCATTCTCATGTTAGCCTTTTGACTGGTCTGTGAAATTCAGAAGTCTCAAAGACTGTAGGATTTGCAAAATTCTTTCTTCCTATAACATTCTATGTAAAACATCTTCCAGGAGCCTCTTCCTGGTGGCAGCCTTCAGCTCTGGGTAATCCTCAGCTTCAGGCCAACACCACTATAAGTACTCCTTCATCCAGCGGAACGGCAGTCTTCAGGAACAGTGTTTACAATCTTCCTTATCTTAATAGTGACTCCAGGTCCTGCTCCTTATCACATTTAGAAGCAACAGGGTACAGTCACTACTAAAGCTTCTCTCCTTCACCTTTAGGGATTACCAGTTCCTCAGGGAGGTCTTTCTTGGCCATTCTTTCTAAAGTTGCTAACTCCCACTCCCAACATACAAACACCTTCCCCACCCTGCTTTATTTTTCTTTTAGCACTTAACACTATCTTAATAAGTAATCCTGTTTATTGTGTCTCTCTACTATAATAAATGAATAACAGAACTAAACTATTCCAGATGCCATCACAGTGGTAACAAAACCGTCTTCTCAGACTCCAGTGTCCTCTTCCTATTCTTTGTTTCTCCAAGGAATATAACCTCAAAGAGCTCCCAACAAAGAACCTTCTGCACCTGGCCTCTCATACTTCCTAATCCTAAAGATGCTTGTAGCTACTCCCGCTAGGCCCAGCAGCAGAGCCGTGGTAAGAGAAAGCACCAAGTCCACCCAGATCCAGATTTCGATTCCCTGCTGAGTGTATGGGCCAGCCCACCCAGGCTCACCAGCTCCTGAAATTTGGAGTGTTCCAGTTTTAAGTGATTCCACATCCCTGATCCATTTTTTCCAGGAGAGGTAGTAGACTTTAACGACACAGACCAGAGGATTGCACAAGTTTTTAATAATAACATATTAATACTGTTAAACAAAAATAACACGTGTCCTCACTGGCAGCAACACGTATATATACACATTCTCTTCCTCTCACATCAACTCTGAGGTAGGAGGTACACTGGTTAAAGAATAAAAATACTCAATGGGCTGTGCATGGTCCAGACCACAGGCCCACAAGGCACTTGGGCAAAAAGCAGCCCCTGGAGGAGCCCAGGCTGAAACAGCTGTGCTAAGACCCTGGAGGTGCTGGCAGGGGCCGTGCAGAGTTGGTCCACCAGCCTTTGAGATCCTACTCAGGATTGGCTGGAGCAGGCAGAGGATGAAACTATAGAGCAGCAGCTGGTTCCACAGTTAGAAAAATGTTCCCAGCACATAAAGTGCTCTCAGTAAACATTTGTTGAATGAACTGAACAAATGGGGTAGTGCAGGGAAAAAAATCCAGAGAGCCAGCCCATAGGTGTCCTGGGGCCTTCTAGGCAAGATCAGGAAAACAAGGGTGGCATGGCACTTCCACCAATTACTTGAAAAGTGAAAATACCAGCCATGGGAAGCTCTGGGACACCAGCTATACTGGTTGGGGAAAACGAGAAAAGTGTCTCCTACATAATAATTGGCACCCTTGGCCGTCCAGGTCCCAGGCCTTCTCATTTTATTACACTGTGAACTCCCTAGGCTGGTCTGACCCTGCCTCAAAGGACCCCATTCACCTCTCCCTTCCCTGACAAAGCAGCCTGATCCTTAGCCTTGGGGAAAAAGTTCCGAGCCAAGTGAATCATACGCCTGTTCTGAGGCAGCTGACTGTGTGGCAAAGGAGAGAGACTTCGGGCCCCATCCACCCGGTCAGGCTCCCAGCGGCAGCTAGGGTGGAGCCAGCGGTAGTAGACAAGGCGCAGAGCCAGACCTAAAAGTAAGCAGACACCGACCAAGGGAAGCCACATGTGCAATGGGATCCCGACAGGCAGCCAGGTGCTATGAGTCACCCAAGTGACCACCAGCAAAACACTGTCACTTAGGAGGAATGCCAAGTGAATGGTGGCCCGGCCTCGGGTATGGCCCTCAGACACATTGAACCAGGAG